TACATATTCAGCCTATCTATTTTTTTAAAAGCAAAACCCCATTTGCCAGAATATATAAACTGAAACCATTCTGATATTAATACGGTCTTCATAAAAATAAAAACCACACCAAATATCTTTCTCGAGAAAGATGAGGAGAGCGGGGCTGAAAGTTCAGGAGGTGCAAACATTTTCCTTTGGAATGAATGAATGTTGCCCATGTGATGGTTCGAGGATGGGGCAGATTAGCATGGGATAAAAGTGGGACCATTTCTTGGTTGCCCAATATAAAGCTAGAAAGGAGATGTGATTCATCCTAAGTAGGAAGGCCAGGGGGATAGGTTACTTAACTGTGCAGTGGGGATCATGTGATAGAAATTTATGAACGCTCAAAGAGTCTTTATATTGCCTATATATTGAGTATATTTGAAAGTACGTATTACAACTATTGATTTTGTTCCACGAAATTTATATTTCTATTAAAGCGATGTTCTATAAAATGGAAAAATAATTTATTTTTAATTCATGTGTTTTGCATATGTTCATAAATTCCTTTGCCTAGTCTAGTCCACTAGCAGTGATTTTCAAAGTACTGCCCAAAGGGCCAACTGGTCTTCCTAATGGATTGCCCCTACCAGTCCCAAAACTTTTTCTTTAATGCCTGAATGAGATTAACCCATTAGTAGCTACCTACATATGTTTTTTTGCTAAATTTGGTGTTTTTAGTACACCTGAAACTTACTGGATTTCATTGACAAATGTCACCATAATAAAAATAAAAAGAAAAAGAAATAATAAATTTGGTCCTTTTAAACTAAAATTAATGCTTTTTAGAGTTTAGAGAGTTTAGGCATGGCTCCAATTCAGTATTTTACTAATTCAGTATTCTACTAACATTGCAAGACTTCTACTGCACATGTGCAAATATGCAAATAGTTGAACGTCTACAATTTGGGGGAAGGATACAGATTCACCCTCAGTACTGCCTTGAATCATCATGTTTTTTAACTGCACTCTTCTTGCTTCTTAATAGCAAATTATTGTTAGCTTTGTTGATCATCATCAATTTAGTTTGTTGTGGGTTGTTTTTAACCCTATAGTATGTACTAATGAATATTTATGAATATTTAGGCTATAATTTTCCCAAACTACTCTGGTATGTATGCACTGTGCCCAAGTATGAATCATCTACACCCTTATTACTAAAGCAGATGTTACATATATCCCACCATAATTTCCTAATGTGAGAATATTTCCCTAGTAATGTGTGCAGTACATGGAATTCAGCACGAAAATCACTTAAATCTACTACCAAGGTAAATCTAACACAAATATTGTTACATTTGCATAACATTTTAAAATAAAAAAGCAAACATATGAGCTAATGATTTAATCTAATTACATAAATAATAAGCACTTTATGAATTTGTTTTTTGCTAAATTTTATCTGGGATAAATTAAAATTGTGAATTATTACTCAAGATCAATATTCCCTAAACTGTGTTCTAGCAAATGTTAATACATGTTCTGCAAATAATGAATTCTTTGCTCAGATAAGTTGAGAGAGAGAAAGTGATATGTAATATGTTCCCCTTTTAGAGATTTTCAAGGCTCTTTAGCATACTGTGATAGTTACTTTTATGTGTCAGCTTGGATAGGTCACAATACCCACATATTTGGTCAAACACTAGTCTGGATGTTGCTATGAAAGTATTTAATAGATGAGATTAATATTCAAATTGGTAGACTCTGAGTAAACTAGTTTGTTCTCCATAAGGTGGGTGGGCCCATTCAATCAGTTGAAGATCTTAAGAGAAGACTGAGCTCTCCGAGGAGGAGGAGGAGTTCTGCCAGCAGACCACCTGTAGACTCGACTGCTGACAGCAGCTCTTCTTTGTGTCTGCAGCCTGCTGCCCTACTCGGAAGATTTTGAACTTGCCAGCCTCTACAATTATGTGAGCCAATTTCTTAAAATCAATCTGTAGATGATGACAGACAGATGATAGATAGGTACATGATAGATAGATAGATAGATAGATAGATAGATAGATAGATAGATGATAATAGACAGATGATAGATGATAATAAAGAGATAATAGATGATAGATAGATGATACATACATACATACTTAGATGGATATAGATATGTATATATACTATATATGATATATGTATAGATGATAGAAATGTATAGATATATGTATGTGTATACATACATTCTAGGTACTTAGACCTTATGTATACATTGATCTTATATACATATATGTACATACATGGGGGAAAGCATAGACACACACACACATCCTATTGGTTCTATTTCTCTAGAGAACTCACACACGTTAAAGCTCTGAAAAGTTCTACGATTTAGAACACTACCTGTTTAACCAAGTATTTTTCCAGTTTAACCACAATACATTTTTTTTTCATATAACCCCTGCTAATATCTCAAAATATAGCTCAGGAAATGCTTTTCTCAAGACTTTACCTTTAGAGGCTGATCTGTAGCCTATGTCTGCAATACCAGCCTCTAGGTCCATTTGATTCAGAAACCAAGAGCACAGTAAGTATCGGGACAAAGGACTCCATGTGTCCTTTCCTCTGCACATGACGCAGGCAAAGGAAAATAACCACGCATTATGCAAGCACAATGAGCTGAAACGTCCATTGTGGAGCTGGTCTCACACATAGTGATGTCTGATGAAAATATGTTCCGGCGGAATAGACCCCACACTGTGCCTTTGTGAAATGCTCCTTTGTGGATATTCTTGGGGACCGAACATTTATACTGAAATACCATCCATTGCAGTGTAACACGACACAAGTCAATGCACAAATGGCAGGGAGCCTAACAAGAAAAGCCAACTCTGTTTCCTAAAAGGCCTCATGCCTCCTTTGTCTATTACTGTTCCTTCTTGAATGTGTTTATACAAATGGTCCTCACTGGCCCCAATTTATCCTTCAGATCTTATCCTAGAAGTTGCTTTCTCCAGAAAGCCTTTTCTGACTTCTTCCCAACCCTGAACCCACTAGGTCAGCTGGCCCTCTTCTCTTAAATGCGTTTAAACAGCATGTACCTCTCTCTTCATTGGACATAAACATGGTTTATTTATTAATGCCTGTCTCCCCTACAAGACTGGGAGGCCCCTGAGAACAGGGGACATTTCTATCTTATTTTTCTCAGCATCCCCAATGCTTGGCATCTGTGGGACCTGAGTGAAGGAGTGAGTGAAGGGGAACTCCTTCTAATTGTCCTCATGTTTCTAGGTAAATAAATGATCCTTTCTTTGTTGCAAGATCCCAGTACTTTTCCCTACTCTGATCTCTCGCTAAATATCTTCACTCTTTCAACCTTAAAACATATCTGTACCAAGAGTCCATGAAATGTTCATCTATATACATACACATACACATATATTCACCTACTCTTGCAAATAATAGTCATTTATCAAGCCCAATAGTGTGGAGATAGGGAAGGCGAGGAGCAGTAAGTATGTGGAATGAGAGAGACTGATTCCAGTTACAACTGCATCATTTTTGGGGTCAAGTAAAATGGTGCAAAAGTTTTCAAACCTATAAAAAGAAAGGCAGAGGCTCAGTCTATTTCTGGGACCAGTTCCTTTCCCCCCAGCTGCTATTTACCCAGCCCTAGTGCTATTTCGTGTACAGCGAATATGGGTTAATCTTCCATGAACTGTCACTGGAAACAAAGGCATTAAGACGAATAATGCATTGGCAGATAGGCTTCATCTCGGGAAATTTGGCTGAGTGTTTGGAGGGGATTGTGTAAGGAATGAAGGTGAAGGTGACACGCAGTCGACACCAGGCCTGGCTCCGTCTACTTCCGGCACACGCTCCACAACTACCCTCTGGACTTTCAGCTACTCACACTCAGTTCTCTTTAGAGGGGCCAGAATGGCAAAGATCTTAGAGCTGACATGGGCTCACTCTCTCCTTCAGGCCCCATCCCCAGAGGCAGAAAACCTGTGCCATCTAAATGGAGTGTTATCTGAAGAAGTTGCCAAAGTAGGTTACTCCAGACAAGACACACATGGAGGGATCTCCCATGATCCCCTCTCCTTCACCCTGGCCCCCACTAACTCTATACAGAAGTCCCCTCCAACCCAGTCCTGGCATAGAAGAGCTAAGACCTGGAGAATCAAAGGCATCTCTATCTGGTAGAAAAACTCAAGCGTAAACAAACAGCTCTCTAATGATAAGAGAATCCCCACAATCATCTCCCCACCCCCAAACCTCCACCACCCTACTTGAAACCAGGGAAATTCACACAGGAATTTCTAAAATATGCTAAATAAGTTTTCATTTTCAAAAATCTGGACTCCTTATTATGAAGCTTGCTTTTTGGTACAAGAAACGGGTATTGAATATCGTAAGCTCTCACTTCTTAAACCATGGGATTTTTTAATTTCCCAGAGAGAGCAAGAGCGTGCTTATACTGGCATCCATGCACATTAGGTGATTAACCTCTTAATTAGGATCAGGCCACCTGCTAAACTGAATTGAAATTCCTTGACGTGATCCATAGTTATTGAAAAACAGGATTTTTTTTTTTTTTTAATCAAAAAAGGCGCTCCAAAAAGGCCCTCTATTCCATTGATGAAAACATTTACTGAAGGATACCTTTCCATACTCAGAGCCAAGGCAGGTCACACCGCCTCTCAAGAAACGTAAATGTTCTCCTACACTCAGTATGAGATGGTCCACCTGGGGTCTGCCATACATGGTGTCATTTCTAAACAATGGCGGATAAAGGTAGGGCCACCAGAAGCTACAAAAACCCAAGTTGCAAAAACATGCTTGGGCTTACTCATTACAAATGAGTTTTTCATCTTCTCAGAGGAGCCACTTGAAGGTCACCTCCACTTGAAATCCTTGGCTCAGGAGCTCCTTATTGCTTTATTGCCCTAGTCTATTAAAATTCTAAAGTAGCTGGTGATGAAAATCCCAGGCAATTTTTTTATCTCCTTGGTGTGAGGGGAAAAGGAAACCAACACATGAGTCTATTTGAAATAGTTTTATGAATTTTAATCATAGCAAATGTGTTTTAACAGTAGTCATAAAATCAACATTACCACATATACAAAGGACAAGACATCAGTTTGGCATACAAAAATACCATGTATTAAAATTGGGTTCATTGGAAAAACTCAGGACCTGCTATGACACCATCTACAACAGAGAGAGCAAGCAAGAATGCTTTTAAGACATTCAGATTTATAAACAGCAGCTTGATATCCCCCTTATGAAGTTAATATTTGGCAACATTTGGACAACATTTTCTACATAGCCCAGCAGCTCACTTATCTGTAGGCCGATTTGGCCTTTTAAAAGAAAAGCTCCTAAAATAAATAATCCACATAATTATAAATGAAACATGTCAAGGACTTGAGTTAACAGCCTCTGAGCAGCATTAATCTAGCCATTTGACTGGAGTATTAGTTATCAAAAGGGCCAGGGAACCCACCAATGGAGCCATAAGAATGGCAGGAACCCTGTGTAGCAGCTGCGTGGCTTATGTTGGGAGTTTGTAACCACCCCAAGCTGAAACCAGCATCCCCACCTGCAACTGTCAAGTGAGGCAAACAGGAACAAGTGGTGGGAGAAAAAAATGTAATAAATGACAACAACCAAGATAGAAACCAAAATATTCTTGAACAAGTCTCTCCAATAGTATGAACCTGACTGAAGTCAAGATACATCCACGGCACAGGCATGCATCCACGGTTCAGAGGGCATCGTTACTTTGTAATGACTCAGCAACCAACTCTAGGGCAGGCTCTGAAATTGCCTAGTGTGCTGACAACCCAGTGCAGCCTCATGGGACCATCTCATCTGCTGAGCACATTCCCTATATGTCAACTTAAATATCTTGAATTAAACTTGGTAGGCCATACTGGAATGACAAATTGTGCTTGGTCAAGTTATTCCCAGTTGCCCTCTGTTTCTTCCTTCATCTGGTTTCTGCCATGACTGTCCTCCAGCTTCAATATAACTGGTTTTGGAGCTACAGTCCCATTCCAGATTTCTTTCCCTTTTATGCAAGCGTTTTCTCACTCACTGGGAGGACCCGCCCACCTGTTGCTACAGACCAACACAGGATCCACTTAATAACTGGGTTCTCCCTCGGCCAGGAAAACTGGAGCAGGGATTTTCCGAAGCACGATATAAGATACCAGCTACTCCACCCTCCCGCTATTCGAATACAGATGACATAGATGTCAACTAGTTCGCCGTTAAGGGTCATTTCCTCATCTATTTCTTTCCTCTGACAGCTCAAGCTCCTTCACCACCATCATATCCAACCTTCTACTTCTGGATTCTCAAAAAGCAAATGACAAATTAAAAACTGAGCTTACCTTTGGAAAACTCTTGTTAAACTAGCCCAATAACTCACAACCCAGGGAGGCCACAGAAGACCTTCTCATGGGCTACTAGCCCTATGCCCTGCGGTGATGAATTTAGAGCAGTGTTCTAGAACAGGAACAGCTACAAGAGAACATTCCCAGAAAAACAGACTTCAAGAGACTCCCCGTTCAGTACAATGCCACAAATATGACTGATTGTCCCTAAAAAGATAATAATATGAACAGTATCAAAAACTTTAGACTAGAATAATAAAGTCTAGCTTAACGAGATGAGTGTTTTCAAGCACCACGACATCATAAGTGAGATATACACAGTGGGAGACCCCAGGCAGTGAATCCTGAAAAAAATAATAATTATTATTATTATTGGCCTGACTGGGCAGGGAAACTTGTGCAGAAAAATCAGAGCCATATAGTAAGAGTTCAGGAATAACAGTGTGACGACTTAAGCAGAGCCAAATAATAGCTATTTCGAAGACAGAAAGTAAATGTCCCACACCTGCTTACGTCCTTCAATCATCAATGGCTTTCCAATAAAATGGATATAGAACCCACCTCTTCGTGTGTTTGAAAAGTCACAAAAGTTTAGTTACACAGAAATTCCCAAAGGTGGTTGATTTGACATAATGTATGTAGCCTACAGAATTTAAGATATTAACATCTAAATTCAACATTATATAACCCGCGTATTGGAAAACATGTCTAACAAGATTTTTACTTGATTTTTAACTCCTATTACTGCTAAACTGTGTACATATGTATATGTATAGACATAGATATATATCTACATATAGTGAATTGTGTCAGAAAAATCAATGGCTTGAATTTTCATTTATTTTTAAGAAGTGTTTCATGTTTAACAAAATTCATCACCAACTAATCATCATCACCTTTGAAAAAGAGACTACTGTTTTGAAAACGGTTACTGAATTATGATGACTATCTCATTCTACTTTAGAGTTTGTTTTGGTAAAGATTATTCTGTGAGTGATAGTTTACCGAGAATGACAGAAATGGTAAGGAACAGCTTCGTTCTTCTAGGTCAAGGATGACAAATCAACTGACTAATGACATGTCTTGTGGAAAATAAAATGCTGACTAGTTAGCAGCATCATTTTGCTCAGAGAAGATAGAAATTCAAACCTTTTTGTATATCACTCATCTCATACCAATACCCTTTGGACTTCTAACTACCTCTTAAGTCTAAAGAAAAACTACCATTTCAGCAAAAAAAAAAAAAAGGTTTTTAATAATTTAATAATTTTTAAAGACAAGCTAAAAAGAATAGCCAATGGCCATCCATGAGCTCTAAGGGGAAAAAAAATCAACTCTATTCTGCTAAATTGAAGCAAATGCATTTGGCATATGTTATATTTGGAAACAATGAAAAGCAGACTAACCAACCATATAGTGTGGGTTTTCAAATAAAGCCATGGGAACTATTTAAATGAATACCTAGACTGGAATAAATACTATATTATCAGGAAGAGTCTGAACTTTCTATGAATATATCAAAACTGAATTTTCTGCTTCCCTTTACTCACTTAAAAAGCAATTTTAGTAACTTTAATAACCCTCAAGTCTTTAAGTTCCACGAGCAATGTTTTTTAATGTTGGAAAAAAAAAAAAAAAAAGGTGCCTTTGTGCCAGGCTGTAAATCTTCAATTCTTTCTGTGATAATGAAAATGAAAAAAAAACAAAAAAACAAACAAGACTAAAACTATGTCAGATCTCACTCTAAAAATAGTACCTATGTTTTAGTCCGGCAAATGAAAAATGATACCCATATGCACATACTAAATACAATGACAAACTGGCAGACTTCAAGGGCAAACAAAAACTCTCTATGAACAGTGCAAAACAAGCTTGCTCTTATACTTCACACCTTACTAATGCAGCAATGAAGTCTGGGTGAGATGTTGGATGTGAAGAGGGATTTCATTAGGCTTTTTTTTTTTCTGTAACATTTACTTTTTGGCCACAAGACCCTAAACACATTTTCACAGTACAAGTCATGCAGAGCTTGCAAGTCAAACGTTTTACAGCTACTGTCTAACTACAATTTTTGGATAACAGATTCACATGCAGCTAATGATCCCAGAAAAGGGGCTTCACAAAGCACTCTTTAAGCTTTGCTGATCGTCCCTTGATCCAAAGCATCTAAGTAATAACTCCAAAGGGCAATCAATGACTTTTTACTGTCATACTTGAGATCATATACTTTTTAAGCCCAGAAATTTTTTTTTTTTTAGCCAACTGCATGTTACTAAGCCATAAACTGTCTTCTTAGCCTTACTGTTACTCCAAACACTTAGAAGCTATCTCCCATTGCACAACCATCCACAAAACTGTGCTTATTTTAAATAACTTAAAACTAAATAATAAAATACAAAATCCAGTTCCCCAGTCGAACTAACCCAGCACTTCAGTTGCCCCACAGCCAGTGTGGCTAGTGGCTACTGTATTGGACCACACAGGTTATAGAACATTCCCATCATCACAGAAAGTTCTACAAGATCCCAAGGGCAGCACCAGGACACGGTGTACCCTTCAAGGGACCCGCTCTTCGGTCATGCACAAGATTAACCTTAAATTATATTCTTAAAGAAAATACCTTATAGCTTTCTGATCATAAAATATGACTAGAACTGAGAACAGATATGCCTTTTCATCACAACTTATGCCCCGAGTCATTATACAAAAATTTTCCAAAAACAATGCTTTTTGACAGCATACTTGGCTCTATTTAACATATTAAGCATTCTCTTGCTTAGGTCAAGATCATTAATAAAGATGAAAATTCATGCTTCTTATAGTTTACTATTTACACAACACTCATTGTCCTTTACATACGGGGAGGAGCGGGGAAACCAATGGTTTGCAATTTTAAAAAAATCAAATCACATGGTTTTCTTTAAAAGTCTGTACTCATCTTTAAATCGACCCTCCTTTCATTTCCCAGAGAGGTAGATGCTAACTAAAGTGAATACGTAAATCTACTAAACTAAAAAACAACAACTTGAAAGCAAGAGTTGAGTTAGTAAAGGACATTCATCCACCCTGAAAAAGGTCACACACAGCCCGACAAAGATATCAACAGGCCTAGGAAAGGGCGAGAAGAAACTGCAGTGCAAAATTCTTGTCTCCCTTTTGCTGCAGAATCACAAGCTGCCCTGCACCTCTGTGGGCCTCAGCAGACTCACCTACAACGGAAGCCATCAGAAGTTGCTTTCAGTGGTAACTCTCTGTGCTTTCGGTTATGGAGGTTTTTTTTTTCCTTTTTCATTGATGTGCAATTGTGAATTCTGGCCGATTGTGTCACTGGCCTTTTGTCACATGGGGTAGATGAGTTATTAGTGTCATTGGCTAATGCCAGAAGAGGCCAGAGCAATGGGATACCAAATATTATCATATCATTAAGTCTATAAAAAGTCTATCAGGCAGGCTGAGACATCACACACACATATACACACACACACGCACACACACACACACACGAATGCATACCTTAACAGGTGCATAAGGAACTGCAGGCAGAATTCATTTAAACAGTGTTTCTCATGTCAGTAAAACTCACACACAATTCTGATTTTGGTTGTTATTGTTACCTTACATCGTAAAGTCAAGACTCTATCACAGAGCTGATTAATTCTGCACTGCTTAATTGCAGCTCTAGCATGGGATTATGTTAAGTAAAAGTTACATAGACATTTTAACTCAATGGTTTTGCACAAAAAAAACAGAGCGCTGTGTTGTCACACACATTAGTGTCTGTATATAACCTACTTAACACAGAATCCTATCAGATACTATACTACACAGCCAGTCATTTCATACTGTACATAAACATATGTAGATATCATTTACAAAATTAATTTAAACGTGGCCTGGCTTAAAATTGCAAGGGCAAAGTCCATTTGAAATGTTGTCTTCTTAATGCAACATTTCTGTGGGTTGTTTTTTTTGTTTTTTCCCCAAGAGAAATAGAAATTAGGTCAAACATGCATTACAGGGGCCTGGTTGAGTTTGAGAAATCGACACTAAACCAACAGTATATTACGTTACGTAATAGAGGATAGCATTCAACTAATATGATACCTAAATTATTAATACCAAATAAATCCTAGATTTGTTGTATAATGCCCAATAGCTTACACAATAAAATGGCATTTTAACCTAATTTCTAGTCTGAGCTTTCAAATACATTTCCTAAAGGTCTTACGAAAAATTTGAAAGATTTGAAAAACCCGAGTTCATATTTTTACATTGAATCCTCACAGCAATGAACAGTGTTAACTTTGGATTCTAGTTATTATACTGTCATTTTATCTCACATGATTTCCATCACTTTAATGTGCATATTTTTACTGCTTGAAGGTAATAGTTAGTGTATAAGCAAATTAAATTGTCTTCATCTTACACGTTGATGTCTAGCCTTGCTTTTCGGAACCAGTCACTGCTTGTCTTTCTCTCCTCTACTTTCATAGATTCAATGGAACACAAATAGACATATTTACGAGTGAAGTCCTTGTCACATACCACTTGCTTCATGAATTCCCTAAGAGAAGCTGGAAAGAACTATAAAGCTCGCAGCTTCTTCTGAATGCACACACATCCAGGCATAGGAATTTACCATTTAATACTAGTAGATCTTTCTTCATGAGCATCTAGAGATAATTACACATTTAAGAACATTTGAGAATTTAGGATCAACTGGTCTACTTCAATCAGGAATGTGAGTCATTGGTTTACCTTGCCACTTTTCTCAATAAAAACATATTTCAAAATACAAGAGATATTCTCACTTATACAACAAGAAGAAACTAGATTTCTGAATGGTTTAACTCTCATGGAACAATATCTTTCGAAAAAATAATCATGGACTAATTATTAAAATGCCAGTCCGGGTTTGTCATCAGTTACCAACACTCATGGCTATTACAATACCCCAAACTAGGAGAAAAGACAGAATCTGTTATGCTCCATTTGTGCCTCACAGAACACAGGACTTGAATACACAGAAGAGGAGCAGGTGTTGGAAGTGATGAGTACGTGACATCTCACTCAGTGGGTCCTGGTGCTCAAGGATGGCCACCGTTTCAGACCCCGGACTCATCCATGTCCACAAAGTCCTACCATCAAGAGTCTTCTGAAAAGATTCAAAACCTGAGGTAAATCAAATCACACACACACGCACACACACACGAATACATAATATTTACATTTAAAATTCTTATTTTGTGAGATGGCTTGAGAAAAATTGGCATACAGTTTTCCTGTGGGATTAGGCATTTCTCATTATTACTCAGTTTATTGCTCCCCCGTTGGGCTTTCAATTTCATAAACACGTATAGAGCTCTAATCACAAGGGAAGAAAAATGAAGGTACATGACGAAACACAACACATTGGAAACGTTCGAATATTTTCTTTGAAAACGACTGTCCACTTGACTTATTTTAATTTGGGTGCCATTCAAAAAGTATAAAAAGCCTTAGCAACTAAACGAAGACTGGGTTTCATTTTTAAAAGGGAAAGAAACCAGCACTGCACGTTGTCGCTGAATTTTTACGTGGATTCTCAGGTTTAATTCTACTTGTATACACAGCATCTTTGTTTTAATCTACCACATTTAGAGAAGATCATGTTGTATGCACTGGCACAGTTTAACGTCTAAGTAGAATGTGTCTATCTTGTAACATGATTTTGAGAAATCATAAATTACAGTCCATTTAGCAAATGACTACGAGGATGCATGCAATCGTCTTCGAAGCTGCCGCCGTCAATACTCAGAGCAAGCTGCCTGGTATCTTGTTGAGACCTCGCATTCTGCCCTTCATGTTTGTCTTGGGTTAATTAAGGGGCAGCCCAGAGGCCAGCGCTCGGCACCAAATGATCAGCGTGGCCCCCATCTCCTCACCTCGATCCCATCACCAGCACCTGCTCAACCCCTGGTTGGCACCCACAAGAGACTTCCCCGCCGCCGACTTCAGCCACAGGATATCACAGTGAAGCGCTTAGAAATGCAAGACATGTTGTGGAGCACGATGCCGAGAAGGAAGACCAGGACGCAGGCCACCAAGATCACAGTGCACACCCCGGACCAGGTGGAGCTTTTCACCACGCCCCGCCTGTCTTGCTCCTCCTCCACCGCCTCCTGGGGAGCCCCGCCTTGCAGAGGCTGCTGCTCAGCAGGGATGGTCACCACGGTGACAGACTTCTGCTGGCTCCCGGGCAGAAAGCGGCAGCCCATGTCTCCTGGCAGCAGAGCTCGCTCCTTGGAGATGGGCAGCGGCAGCATGTAGCACCCATTGCTGGGAAGTTTGATGAAGACCGGGGTGTGCTCGGAGGCGTGCGGGATGGCAATGACGGCAAGGACCTCAGGGTCGTCAGGGAGCTGTGACACGGAGAAGCCCGGGGGCAGCTTGGTGATGCCCCGGCACCAAGGGCACCTCACGTCCTTCTGGCTTGTCCTCATCTGCTGAAGGCACACTGAGCAGCAGGTGTGTTTGCAGTCTAGCAACTTGGGCCTTCGCCGGGGGCTGTAATAATTGAAGCAGATCTGACATTCCATCAAAGAATCTTGGGAAAGCGTCTCCATCCTGGACTGGGAGCAGGAAAGTCAAGGCCAAAGGGAAGAAGCTCGTTCTCAGAGTCCACCACTCCAGCACCTTCGTTGAGTCGTTTGGGGTGCTCACAAGCATCTAGCGTATTCAGGTGTGTTCATTTCTGAAGGAGATACAAAATGCACACAAAGTTAATTGTTTCAAACAAGCTGAGATGTCAGCATATCTGATGGATTTATGCCACTATTCAAAAGTATTGACACTGGGTCAAACGCATAAAAATTCCCCACTTGTGAGACTGTAGGATTCCTGTAATGTCCAATGGCAGGTAAATGACTTGTCTCAGACAGCCTGTCACGGCGAATAATTTGCTCATTTTTAAAGAAATGAACACCTCTGTTGCGGTACACAAGGCCCCCATATTTCATAACGGGGAAGTCTGTTGTTTCTGTTTCATGCATTTCAGTGGACCTGGCTTATTCTTCTAAAAATACCGGAGAGATTCTCTTGCTTCCAATAAGTTTGTAGCATTTTCTAAAAGTAAATTTCTTTCCTTTGATCTTCTGACCTTCTTTTCCTGACTCTACTTATCCTCCTGTAAGTACTCATGGCCAGGTATAGGTAACTTTATGATCTAGGTACTTCAGGTAACTAGTTGACTCATTTTACGCGGGTTAGGGCTGTTCTTCCCTCAGAGGTCATTAGAATGATGCCGCCAAAGATGCACACGCAGCATCTGTTATCTTTCCCACCAAATCATTTGACCCAAGGGCATCCTTGCCAATTGAAATTTAAAAGAGACAGAAACAAAAACAAAACAACAACAATAGCAAAACCACCAGCAGCAACGCACCTTCAGGCAGTCGGGTCACAAGGGCATACAGGAAAATAAATATTTTTCAGGCAGTTCTTTCAATTTCATTTCTATTTAGGCTTGCACCAAGTAACACGGCAAGCAAAGACTATCAATTAACTGACCTTAATCAAGTAGTATACAGTGAAAGGTGGGCGGAGAATACTGGCAGGCAGCCCTCACCATAAAGAAAAACAAAGGAATAGTGTCAGCCTCCTCGGATCGACAGGAGGCGGAGTAACTTAGTTCAACTTAACTGGGGTTTCAGGAACCCCTTAGTGCTCCAGGGGTGTTTCAATAAAGGCTGCCCAACTGTGTTTCCTATTGAAAGCATCCACATTATGTGTTTCTGGATGGAGCCCTGATGATTCTGCAGAGAACTACCCAACCTCTACTGTAGAAATAATTGCCAGTCCTAGAAGCCCACCTATACCCAGAGGCAGGAGATAATAGTGTAGAAAACCTCCTTCACATATTTCTTAAAAAGCAAACCTTCTTTTTCTAACTTCCTTTGTAAAATCAAGAATGCACCCCCTCCCCAATGATACACGATTTGTTAAAGTTAAAACTAAGAAGGTAGAAAAAATTTAAAGTAAAAAAAAAAAAAAAATCACTGATAAACATTAACCGTGACAATCAAAAGAGCAACATATTTTTAAAATATTTTAGCCATACTTAAGAGCCCCTAAACAAACTTAAAGTAAAATATAGTATTATAGCATTCAGAAAGCGTGTATCATAGCCAACTATTTGTCTATTAATTCAAGAACTGTCTATTGAATAACTGTTTGCTAAGAGTAGATCTTAAATGTTCTCACACACACACACACACACACACACAAGATAAATATGAGGTGACAGATGTGTTAATTAGCAAGATGGGGAGTATCATCTCGCAAGGTATATATATTTATCAAACCACCACAGTGTACACTTCCAATATCTCACAGTTTTATTTGTCAATTATACCTCAATAAAGCTGAAAAAATGAAAATAAAAAGTATCTATCGAGTATCTATCGTGCACAAAGCTAACTCCTATAGGACAGAAATATGAATCAGACCCAAATTCTACTCAAGCAATTTAAAGTTAGGTGAGAATGAATAAATATATTGTCTCTTCTGTTCATTTATTCATTCAGATTCTCACTGAATATCTACCATGTGTCATGGTATTTCTTTTTGTCTCTTGTAAACTAAGAACTTGTCACCACCCATGAGAAACTCTCAGGCTGGAAGGACTTAGTTATAATAAAAATACAAAGTGATACTTGCCCTACAGGAGGAATGTGTGGAGGAATCAGAGACGGCTCAGTGACAAATCAGGATTATGGGGAGGATTCAGACATGTGAAATCAGAGGACAGGTTATTTTCGGGTCAGAAATCAGCATGAGCAATTACAGAATTATTTCTCTATTCCAGCTGTGACACTGCTGAGAGGATTTTTTTGTAATGCGAGAGGAACCTAGAGATGTCATCTCTAAGAGTTTTATAGTTTTAGCTCTTACATGTAGGTTTTTGACACAGATGCTTTCTAAAGAAACAAAGTTCTCACAGGCCCTGCAAACACCCTCCCCACAGGCCCAGCCAAGGGAAAGCAGGTCCTACAGCGAGGGGAGGAATGAGCCCAGCCAGACACGGGCCCTGGGCCGGAGACCACAGACCGTGGACAGCCTCGCGTGCCAGGCCAGGGATGTGGGACGTTCTACCGGGCAATGGGAAAACACCAGAAAGGTTAAGAGCATGAGAGTGATTCACCAGAAAGCTTAAGAGGATTGTGAGAGCGATTCATCAGGCAGTAATATTCAGGATAGATTCAAAAGGTCCCCTGGGACGCTATTATAATATTAGACAAGAGTGATGAGTAGCTTAAGTAAATAGTAGCAATCAGCACGAAGGGACGCAGACTGCGGAGAAGTCTTACGCAAGTCGAGGGCTCTGGCCGTGCGCCACGTGACGCTGGGAGCGGGAAGAAGTCTTGGGAGGACGGTGCTATCCTTCAGACAGACAGGGATCGCCAAGAGAAAGGCAACGAGTTCTATTCTGGCCATGTTCCATTTGAGGTGCTCGAAGGTATAAGAAATCTGTTATTCAGGAAGATGTCAAAGAGACAAAAAGAAGCTGAAAACGTGGGGTTGTAATCGCAGGGAAAAGTCTGCACGAGGCGGCACCCACAGAGAAGGGACGTCAGCCCGAGGCAGGCGAAGCGGAGCAGAGGGACGCTTAGGGGGCGTTTACGTTCCAGCCCAGGCGAAAGGAGGCGTGGGCAGCTTAGAAATGGGAACGTGTATGGGAAGTGGTGAATGTGGAAGGGAAAAGAAATCTCAGGGTGTTAGCGACGAGGGTTCAATTCTTCCAATTTTATACCTAAGGTACTGAATTTATTTTTTCTTAAGAAAGAAAGAAAACACGGGGTTTGCTGGTGAATACTGGCAAATTCTCTCATCGATCCCTACTTTTTAAGCCCATTGACAGAGGTCAGGCCATGATAGCACAGACCACAGGGAGATGGGTGTGTTTCTAGGCAGGAAGGATTGATCACTTGGAGCTATGGTGGCAGAAATGACAAGACTGGGGAGATGTGCCCACGATAAGCAGAGGTTCCTGCAGTTTTATGAATTTAGAGAGAGCGCTCCTTACGAATGCCACCCACAGGACAAACACCTCCAACACAAATGGAGCTGGGAACAAAAAATATTTCATTACGCCAATGTATCTCTTAACTTTCCTTCTTTCCATACTATTTACCTTCCTGCCTTAGGAAAAAAAAATGTGGAAAGGAGCTTCGCAGAATAGGAAGAATAGAGGTTTTGGCCCCAAAGAATCTTAAAGTGAATCGTTGCTCTGGCACTGACTGCCAGCTGGGGCACTGGAGCAAGTCGGTCGGCTGCCTGGAGGCCGCATCCTCGCTTGGCCAAGGCTGCTCTCCTTTTCAATTTAATGATGCAGTCGTGTCTGAAGGTCAAGTGAGTTCAAGTTCACATACTGCCTGGTAGTGAAGGACGCGGTGTCAGTTCTCTCCTTCCTCCTAACTCTCCCTACAATGCCGTGTGTGATCTGCCCCCGGATCAGGCACTTCCCAGCTCTCAAAGAACTGCCATTTCGAACAGCTTGGAAAGAATGCAAGTGTTCTCCTTGGCCCTCCCCCAAGACCTGCCACACTGTCATTTTTCAACAAAACCAACATGCAATTTTATTCATGAGTTTATGTTCCAAGGAATACTCAGTTAATTGCTGTCGAGCTTCCTTAAAATTAGATTAGACTACTCAATTTCCAGCTCCATCCAAGTAGGCTCTAGCCTTACGACGCAGGCTGAACACAAAAAGCAGAATGATGCAACAGTTCCTATTTTCCGTGCTCAGACACTCAGGCCCCTTTGACAGAAGCCTCTCTGATTTATACACCGATTTGCTCTTCATTAAGCCAGCCTGGATTGCATTTCAGTTTACTTTCTGGAGCATAACTAGTAATGATGATGATTAGTTAGGTAAAGAGGAGAAAATTTATGAGGCTATGGACCAAAGCTAATGAGGGATCATTCTTTCTCCCTTTCATCATACACGAGTCAGCTACAGAAGCGGATGGAAACACGGCTGACATTTGCTAGAAAAGAAAGTCACCGTTCCTGGTCGGAGGCGCAAGCACACACACTGGTGATGGCTTCAGAAAACCTGTGTTTGGCAAGATGCGATGTTCAAATAAAATGCTCATTAAATTTCAAAGGAAAGAGCGCCTTGCTAGAATGCATAAGAACAAGCATACACTAAAACATACTGGAACAATTTTTAAATGTCACTACGATTTTGAAAGAATCTAAAGTAAAAATCAAAGAGAAAGACAGACCACAAAAAGGAATAGTGGTGGCTAAGGGAGGGCATTCCTATAAGTATGGCTTATAGGATAGAATTTATATGCTCAAACACTCCTTCATAAAGTGGTACTTATTTTCACATATAGTATCAATTGTATGATATGCGCAGATAAAAGGCCTTGAATAATCACTGAACCTGGCACTAATGCATGACTTGGTTTTAAAATACTCTAAAAAATAGATTGAGATTTATGTATATGGAAGAGATAGGATTTGGGGGAAAATCTGTGAAAAGCCAAAGGGGTATGTGTCTTGCTGCTGCTGTTTGGGGGGCAGTAGATATCTGGTACTTTATAACACTGATATATTTTCATAAAATTTCTTCTTTTTAAAGTATATAATTTTTAGCATCTTTATAAAAGACGTGAGTGTGATAAAGTACTCTCATGACTTCAGTGGGTGGTAAAAATCGCACAGGTCTCCAACACTGAATTTTTA